ATGAGGGGCCTCATGTGGTGTAGTAATTCCCTCACAGATGGTGTTATGAGGGGCCTCACGTGGTGTAGTAATTCCCTCACAGATGGTGTTAGGAGGGACCTCACGTGGTGTAGTAGTTCCCTCACAGATGGTGTTATGAGGGGCCTGACGTGGTGTAGTAATTCCCTCACAGATGGTGTTATGGGGCCTCACGTGGTGTAGAAATTCCCTCACAGATGGTGTCATGAGGGCCTGGTCCTGCCTTCTATCGTGGTGTAGTAATTCCCTCACAGATGGTGTTATATGAGTGAGGTGTGGTCCCAGGCCTTCCTATCGTAGACGGATTAACACATGGCTGGTTGTTGGGTCTCACGGGCCGTTATCACTGGGTACCTGGGACCTCACTGTGTGAAGGTTAACTTGGGTACAACTGTTACTGTTGAGTTGTTCTCACTGACTTAAGCACTGTTCACCACTGTTCACCTCTGTTTAACACTGGTTCCATTCCTTTCCTAAGTGAAATAGTAACTTCTGGCGAGAACTTGTTGATATTCCGGTGGGGAGGAGGGTTCACGGGAGGGAGTTGGTATGGGCCAACTTAACAGTTGACCTGGCTGCTCCGAGAGGAGCGCCAGGTACGTCTTGACCCTTCGGTGGTCAAGGATGTAGTGTGTGTGTGTGTTTTGGTGTGAGTACACCCAGTAGTGGTGCAAGTAAATTGAGCCTGAGGGCAGGGTACCAGGAGTTCCTATTTTGGGTGCATACAGCATCTTTTCTGTAACCATTTTTTGTGTTTATTAAACATTGTATTTGTATGTGGGTCTATGATTCACCTATAGTATTCACCGTTGTTCTCAACCTAATGCTCGATACTATATTTACATGTACCCATGGGCCTTCCTCTCACGTCACGCTACCAGGTCAGAGTATCAACGTAAGTAGTAAGAGTGCCAAGCCCTCGCAGGGTGGCAGCTTGTGTTGCGCGTTCTTACAGTTGGTGGCCTCAGTGGTTCAGCAGTAAGTAGTAGCAGCCCGCGCTCTTACACACCAACATCAACATTGGTGGTGAAGAAGCGAGTGCTGACCGTGCGGCGGCTAGGGATTTTCCTCCGTTCTTACGTGAGGTTATGGAAGAAGGACAGTACACCGACGACCAGGTGTTCAACATGGACGAATCCGGTCTATTTTGGAAAAAGCTGCCTACCAAGACCTTCATTGTCCAGTCTGCCAGCAAGATTCGGGGCCGGAAGTTGCAGAAGGAGCGCATCACCGTCCTCTTTACCACCAATGCCTCCGGTCCCTGTAAACTCAAGTTATCGGTGATCCACACAGCCCGCAGGCCACACGCCTACAAGAACATGGACATGAGCAAGATTAATGTCCACTGGCTGACCTCACGTAAGGCGTGGATGTTCTCAGCTCTGTCACTCTCCTGGTTTGATGACTGTTTCGTTCCCGACGTGAAAAAATTGTGCGAACAACAGAATGTTCCATTCAACATTCTGTTGCTCCTTGACAACGCACCAGGACGCTCGCCAATACTTATGGATCGTCACCCCAACGTAAAAGTGGTCTTCCTTCCTCCCAACACTACGACATTAATCCAGCCCATGGACCAGGAGTTGATATGCAATGTGAAAGCTGCATACTCTGCAAAGAAGTTTAAGCTCCTGAACGACTGTACCAACACCAAGGATGAGTTGCGTAAGCTGGGTGACACTGATAGCGAGAGCAAAAGCGACGAGGACAAGGACAAGGAACAACAGGTGGTGAATCAAGAAGTTCTCGTCAAACAGTTTTGGAAAAAATTTAACGTCAAACAAGCTGTGGACTTCTTGGTGGAGGCATGGGATCAGCTGTCTGTAGCTACGATTCGTCACGCATGGAGGCATGTGTTGCATGGTATCCCAGGTGAGAGGCGGAGTCAACCTGTGACTGGTGAGATTCAGACTGTTACAGTGGCATTGGACCTTGCAAGAGAAGCTGCGCACAGTATTACAGCTGAAGGCTTCTCCGAGACCACCAACGAAGACATCCTGGAGGTGATCAGAGATCCTGAAATGACTGCCGACGAGATGTTGGAAGATGATCACGTCAGTGAAGAGGAAGGTGGTGCGTCAACCCCAGAAGAACACAAGTTAACGCATAGTAATATTAAGGGTGCCATCAAGTGTCCAGAGAAATTGAAGCTCTTCCTTTCCAATGACCATGACGATGACCGCTATGAAGTCTTCCATACCCGGCTGGTGCAGGCTATGGAGTCGTACATCAAGGTGTATCAAGACAACATCAACACTAGCCGTCAAAAAAGCATTACTGAGTTCTTCGCCCTCAACCCACCACAGCCAGCCCAAGCCAGTGATAGTGACAGTGAATTTGACTTTGAGGGATTTGTCAGGGAGGCCCTGACAACTCTGACGGATAGTGATGGTGATTCACCTACCGTATATCACGGCCTATAAGGCGGCGGGGTGCATAAGACGCCCCCCCCAAATTTCCATTTAAAAAGTAGCTTTTGAGCTCTATTTGCTGTATAAGACCAGTACCCCAAATGTGACACTTACCCACTGACTCAGTAGTCCTTTACCAACCATCCTTGATTTTTTAAAATAAGGCCAATTCACTTCAAGTAATGTCATCAAATTATACCCGCTGGTGTAGTGTAAACACTAGTGACGTCACTGAAGCGTGGTGGGAGTGTTCCCTCGTCTCGGTGGTGTGACTATTTATACAACATGTGGTTCAACAGCAACCACCGTATTCTAATTGTGGTGTTTCATTAGGATTTGAGTGAAAAAGGTTACCAGTATGTACTTACTACATACATTTATTACACAAATATATATATATATATATATATATATATATATATATATATATATATATATATATATATATATATATATATATATATATATATATATATATATATATATATATATATATATATATATATATATATATATATATATATATATATATATACTGAATATACTATGTACAAAAAATGAATGTTCAATGAATTATTTATGGTGCATTAGGGTACTGGTCACTTCTGATGGGCTATAAATAGCCTTCTTTATCTCCCCTACATCTCACCCTGAGCCAGACGGAAGGGTCTTGGTAAATAACATGTTTGCTTATTTTCCATTTACTTTAAATAGATTTACCGAATTATTTGTTTTATTTATTTATTTATAATATACTGTAATATATTAAACACACTGTAATTATTTTCTTTAATTTATAAACTGTTTTGCGACAAAGGAATGTTCTCCAGTAGTGTTTCATTAGGATTTGAGTGAAAAAATATTACGTACTTACACAATTGTTCCTCTTACTTTGACAACACAACATACATACAGTATATTATTTCTCAGTTTTGATCTTTTTTTTTAATTTTTGTATTTATTTATAGTTAGTTACTTAAAATAAGGCCAATTCACTTCAAGTAATGGCATCAAATATTACCAGCTGGTGTAGTGTAAACACTAGTGACGTCACTTGAGCGTCTGTAATTAACCGTCGATAGTTTCAAGAATTAATGCACTCATTTACTGAATATTCTTTGGAAAAAAATAAAATTTAAATCAATTATTTATAGGAGATAAATATTATTATGAGTAAATATACCGATACCGGTATGCATTACTGACCACCTCCACGGCTCCTCACTGGCAAATGGGGGGGGGGCGTGGGGAGGGGTGTGTGATGATAGCTGTGTTTATTATAGGGGTATAAATCTCTTTTACGGTATGTTAGACAGGTTTATAATACATTTTTATTATTTTAATATACCGGTAATCTTAATTTGAATCCAGCTTGCCAAACGTAAGTTTCAGTATAAAATAATTAGTGGTAAGACCTTGTGAGTGGCTTACGATGTTTTCATCACCACTCTTGACACACTAAACCACAATATTTAAGAGGTAAGAATTTTAAACTTGGTGGTTTAGACGACCCCCTAACTTTGGGCAGATTTTTTTAATGTTCAAATTTCGTCTTATAGGCCGTGATATACGGTAGTGATGGTGAATCACCTGAGGGCCAGTAATCAGCCCTCTGCCTCGGAACCAGCCTCCATCCCCGTATGCCGATCCATCTCTTCTACTAACATAGGTGTTAAACCTAACCTTTATTTTTCCTAACCTAACCTTTATTTTTCCAAACCTAACCTCTTCTATATTAATTGTGTGTGCATACCATCATAAAGTTAAGATAATATTTTTACTACAACATAGTTTTGTGCCGTCAAAAAGTGGAGTTTGGTGGTCGGGCCAGTCTCTATTGGAATTAATCCCATACCGGGTATGTTCTGTTGTTCACTTTACGCGGTTTTCACTTTCCACGGTACCCTGTGGGTTCAATTGACAGCGTAAATCGGGGTACTACTGCATAACAGAACAAATAATTTGATATGTCACACTATGCTCTCAAATTATGCAGTATCTGAATACTGTTATGAAATAAAACATCAATTTGCCAAACTGCAATTTTATTACCCTTCTCCAAGAGATCTATGCAAAGAACATCTCTGCATCTGCAGTCAGTGTCAGTGTGTATGTGTGTGTTCATGTGTACACATTAAGAACGTCAAGGCAAAGACGTCAAGGTAATAATTATCAGCTCACTCCTCTGGTTACCATGGTAACATGGACACACTACTCTCACACGCCCTGGGCTTTTAGTTAGCCGCATTCCCAACAGATGGAGTTGATCGGAGCTCAGTGGCTCACGTTTTTTTAATGATAAAGGTAGGCGCTTTCCTGTCTTTCTTATACTTGTATAGTTGTTGCTGTTAACTTTCGATCTTGAGTTGTAACGTTTTCTTCCAAACTTTGTTCTTCAGCAAGATTAAAATAGGAGGGTTTTATTAATTAGTTATTAGTTCCAGCCACTAATATGTAAAGATTTCCTTAGTTTTAAATTTGCAGACTTAGTGGGCATAATAAATGAGTCCCTTGGCTCAGGCATTATATAAAAAATGAAAACCAACACACAGAAAAAGAGAGAGCACTCACTTGGATCCCAACTCCCCTGAAGTCCTGTGGTTGAACTTTGATTTGGCGGAGCAAAGATAATACTTCTCTGTAAATTATCATAAACACAATTAGTAATGGAGAATGTGCCTAATAATATCCTACCCTTATCAGCAGCTGGTTCAAACTAAAGATGCCATAAATGCCTACAACCACTGGATCATTAAAGTAAATACAAAGAGTTGACTGAAGACAATGGAACTGACTGATGAAAGGCTTTGTTTCATCATATACTTTCTTTGACTACATGTTATTAACTGATAACTTTATATGAAATTATGTTATATTGTTGTACAGGTTGTACCTCTCTAGTCCGGCATTCTGTGGTCCGGAAAGATTTTGGTTTGTCCAATAGGTAGATAGGCAGCATTATTATTATTATTATTATTTTTTTTTTTTTATTTTTTTTTTACTTATCTGAATTATTATTATTATTACAGGAGTATTAAATTTTTGCCCCTCAGGCCCCAATGTGGGTCAGTGACCTATGCCCGGGTGGGCTAATCCCCTTAAAAAAAAAAAAGCCGCGGGAAATTAAGGTTTGTTTACATCCGGCAGTTCGGCTGCTCTCTCTCTCTCTCTCTGCTTGTCTATACAGAGTACAACATTTAACCCTTCAATATATATGAGCAGTAAATAAGTGTTGCTTTCATATTCTTATGTAGAGTAATGACGATATATTTTCACATGTGCGCACTTACATACGAGCAGTCTCACTTTTTTTTTTACCATTAATGGTTAGCTACTTATATTGTTCCATTTATTAACATTAAATAACATTACAGGTACTTCAAGCAACCATATTCATTTTTTTACATTAATTTTACTACAGCTAAACTCAGGGTCTTATTTTCTTCAGTTTTATATGTAGAACCAATGAGTCACTGGTTTTGTAAGCTTTAACATAAACAATGCCGGCAGCCGTCTCGTCTCCTCTAATATTCCACGTATTATTAATAAATTGTATTGTTAATTTTGCACACATGTACATTAATTCAATAAAAACAAATTCAGAAACATTAATTAAAATATATATGAACAGTAAATAAGTGTTGCTTTCATATTCTTATGTAAAGTAATGACGATATGTTTTCACGTGTGCGCATGCGCACTTACATATGCGATCTCTCTTTTTCTTTACCATTATCGTTAGCTACTTCTATTGTTCCATTTATTAACATTAAATAACATTACTTAAAACAACCATATTAATTTTACTACAGCTACAACCAAGGTCTTATTTTCTTCAGTTTTATATGTAGAACCAGTCAGTCACTGGTTTTGTAATCAACGAAAACAATGCTTTGTCATTTCCTCGTGTGTTTTAATATTCTACGTATTATTAATGAATTGTATTGCTCATTTTGCACACATAAACATTAATTCAATAAAAAAGACATTCAGTAATAAACAATAATGAATCTTTTGTACATAAGAGAAATGACGCTGTTTACACTATTATGCACGTCGTCTGCACATTGGCGGGCCGTTCAAACCCGTCGAAATTCAAGCATAAGCACAAGTCACTATCTATCCAGGAAAAGGGTGAATTTCCATGGTCCGGCACCGGTCAGGTCCCGAGGTTGCCGGACTAGAGAGGTACAACCTGTACAACCAAAGCTGGATATGTAATTAAACTTGACCAACACTCACCACCAACACTCACCATCACCACCAACACTCACCACCACCACTCACCATCACCATCAACACTCACTATCACCACCAACACTCACCATCAGCACTCACCAACACTAACGCACACCATTACCACCAACACTCACCATCACCACCAATACTCACTATCACCACCAACACTTACCATCACCATCACTCAACACCACCAACACTCACCATCACTGCCAACACTCACCAAAATTACCAACACTCACCACCACCGCCAACAGTCACCACCAACACCATCACTCACCACCACCAACACTCACCACCACCACCAACAGTCACCATAATTACAAACACTCACCACCACCAACAGTCATCACCAACACCACACACCAATGCCAACACTCACCACCACCACCACCACAACACTCACACTCCCAAACTCACCACCACCACACCAACATCATCCTCACCACCACCAAACAGTCACCACCAACACCATCACTCACCACCACCAACACTCACCACCACCAACACTCACCACCACCACCAACAGTCACCACCAACACCATAACTCACCACCACCAACACCAACACCACCACCAACAGTCACCACCAACACCACCACTCACCACTACCACCAACACTCACCACCACCAACACTCACCATAACCACCAACACTCACCACCACCACCACCACCACCACCTCACCACCACCAACACTCACCATCACTGCCAACACTCACCATAACCACCCAACACTCACCATAACCACCAACACTCACCACCACCACCACCACTCACCATAACCATCAACACTCACCACAACCACCAACACTCACCACCACCACCACCACCACCAACCACCACCAACAGTCACCACCACCACCACTTACCATAACCACCACCACTCACCACCACCACTCACCATTACCACCAACACTCACCACCAGTCACCATAACCACCAACACTAACCACCACCACCACCACTGACCATAACCACCAACACTCACCACCACCACCAACACTCACCATTGCTGCCAACACTCACCACCACTACCACCACCACCACCATAACCATCAACACTCACCACAACCACCAACACTCACCACCACCACCACCACTCACCATAAATCCACCAACAGTCACCACCACCACTTACCATAACCACCACCACTCACCACCACCACTCACCATTACCACCAACACTCACCACCACCAGTCACCATAACCACCAACACTAACCACCACCACCACCACTGACCATAACCACCAACACTCACCACCACCACCAACACTCACCATCGCTGCCAACACTCACCACCACTACCACCACCACTCACCATAACCACCAACACTGGCCTACTGCTAATGCTTCGCTGTTACTCGGAATCGAGTATGATGATCATCCAGCTATGATACAAAGATATGAGTTATTAGGAATGTGACCTTCATTGGTGAGTTTTGAGGTGACTAAAGAGGCTGATGCTGGACCAGCAGAGTCACTGATGTTGCACATGTGGAAGGCTACATCGAGTGCAAGGGGGACGGTGGCAGAGTCTTTCAAGCGTTGGCGCTTGTTTGCTTTGGTTTGCAGTTGGGCTAACTCGAATACATTGACACCTTCTTGTGTGGTGCTCTTCCAAGCCTTACGATGTGGAGTAATCGTCTCCCAGGTGAGGGGGGTCGATTTGACACTTTTTCAGGCTTGTCTTAAGACTATCCTTATACCTTTTCAGTTGCCCGGCAACGTTACATTTACTATTCGTTACGTGACTGTAAAGTAGCTGTCTTTGGCAGTCTACTGTTATCCATGTGAGTAACATGGCTAGTCCAGCATACTTGTTCATGGATAATGGTAGCCTCGATGCTCCTACAGAATACTGGCATTTGTTCTCTTGTCTTCCCAGCGAACTCGGAGGATGGAACATAAACTACGTTGGTGAAAGTTTTCAAGCGCCTTGAGCTGCCTACTGTATGTGGCCCATGTCTCGCTGCCATATAGCAGGATGGGGAGGACCACTGCTCGATATACGTGTAACTTTGTAGATAATTTCAGCTCCATACAGCTGAAGACACGGTTTCAAATCTGCCAAAGGCTTGAGATACACATCTGATTCGATGTTGAATCTCTTCATCGATGTCCGCAGTGGTGGACAGGTGGGAGCCGAGATACCGAAAGCGGTTAACATTAGAGAGGGAAGTACCATTAAGCTCAATGGATGGTGGAGGTGTGGCTGAACCAGGGGCAGGCTGAAAGAGAATCTGAGTCTTAGGGTACATTCACCTCAATGCCGAAGTGTGCATATGCTTCTGCATAGGTGTTCAGGATCTCCTGTGGGTCACATTCAGTGTGAGCGACAAGGGTGTGGTCGTTTCCATACTGAAGTTCAGTAATGGAAGCTGCCGACACCTTTGTTCTTGCCTGGAGTTTTCTTATATTGAAAAGACCCTTCATCGGGTACTCGATGTCCACCCCACCGACTAAACTGGCACTGGCACGAGTAAGGAAGGCAACCAAGAAAATGGAAAAGAGAATTGGTTCCAGTACACACCCTTGTTTAACCCCCATTCAGAGGGGGAAGAACTCAGACTGGGTGCCATTGTGCAGGACACTAAGGTTCATGCCATCGTGGAGTTGCATCACAATGGTGATGAATTTTGGTGGGCAGCCAAAACGGATGAGGGTCCACCAGAGGGCTTCCCTGTTGACCGGGTCGAAGGCCATGTACAGGTCACGATGCTGTTCACTGCACTTTTCCTACATCCGAGTAGGCAACAAAAATCATGTCAATGGTGCCATGTGATGGTCTAAAGCTACATTGAGATTCTGGGAGGAAGTTTTCCACCCCAGGAAGAAGTCTGTTTTGGAGGACTCGGGCAATAACCTTGCCAGCAACGGACAGCAGAGAAATCCCGTGTTAGTTGCCACAGTCTGACCAGTCTCCCTCGTCCTTACAAAAACTGACGTTGGAGGCGTCTTTAAGAGGTTGGCGAATTTCCTCCTTTTCCCATATATTCTCCAGGAGAGAGTGGAGACGGTTGGTAAGCAGAGGTCCTCCTGCCTTATACACCTCGGTTGGGATTCCACCAGGCCCTGAGGCTTTGTTATTTTTCATCTGTTTGATGGCAGTAGCTACCTCATCCAGAGATGGAGGATAGCTGAGGTGGGTCAGCTCTGGATGCTGAGGGACCTGCTGGGTAGTCAGGACATCCACATCGGTGTTTCGGTTGAGCAGTGAATGGTAGTGCTCTTTCCAGCGATGAAGGAGGCCTTCATCGTCTTTAATTATGAGGTTGCCGTCAGATGAGCGGAGGGGGGGCTGCGTCACGAGTGACTGGCCCATAAAATGTTTTAATGGAAATGAAAAATTTGCGCGTCTTGTGCTTCACACGATTATTTTAAGCCAGTCGTCCTTTAGC